GATAAGGTGACATTTGAGCAAGACCTGAAGGATGATATGGGGGTTTTAAGATACATCCATAAATTCTTTGATATTCTTTCCTTTATGAGATGGGGCTTAATTTTCTTCCCATTGGGTGTGACCTAGGCTCGATTACTCACTACTAACTGGTAGAATGTGCCAGAAATGATGGCATATGACTTCTGGGTAGGCTATAAACACGTTGTAGTTTCCAGCTGGCTCTCTTCAGATCCCCTGCGTAGGGAAAGCAGCAGCCATGTCATGAGGACACTCAAGCAGCTCTGTGGAGAGGCCCATCTAGTGAGGAACTAACCCCTGCTGCCAACAGCCAGTGAGCAGCTGAGGCCTCCTGCCAACAGCCATGTGAGTGAGCCACTGGCCCCTCCAGCCCCAGGGAAGCCTTCAGATGACTGCAGCCCCTGCCAGCATTCTTATTTCAACCTCCTCAGAGCCTCTGAGCCAGAACCAGCCACTCCTGGATTCTTGACTGTGAAATAAATGTTGGTGGTTTTAAGCCAGTAAATTTTGGGGTGATTTGTTAGCAGCAGATAAATAAAAAAGAGGAGGAGCCAAGCATATGTATATAGTGGGGGTTGGGGTTGGGGGTGAGGAGTGATCTGAGCAGAGGTGATCCACTTGGATCAACCAAGTGATCCAAGACAGCAGGTGCAAAGGCCCTGGCCCTCCATGCAGAAAAGCAGAGACTCCACCTGTGGTTCGTCCCTTGTCTGTTTGGTCCTCAGTTTCCTCATTTGTCAAAGGGTGTAAACAGACATTATCAGATGAAAAATTTGATTACCGACCTAGAAGGGTAAGGGAGGGCAGGGAATGGCTGAGCCACACAGGCAGTTAGGGCCATCCTGAGATGTAGACTAGCTCCACCAAGCAGGGACTTTTCATGTTGTGGTCACAGACGCCGATTTCTGACTCCTTCCCAGACCTCCTGTATTGGACTCCCTGGATCAGAGGAGGACCCTGGGAATTTTTTTTTTTAACCTTTTGGGGGATTAGGTCCACATACATGAATAAGAGTTCCTGCCCTGCAGTCCTCAGGTGCCTTGGGCTCTCTGCAGTCCCTGATCTCTCACAGGCACCTGGACAAGACGTTCTCATCCTTCCAAACCTACCCCAGCCCTCACCTCCTCTGGGGAGCCTTCCTTCCCCTTTCCCCAATCCCTAGAGTCAGACCTTCCTGTCAGTGACTTGCCTCTGAGCCTTGGTTTGGCTTCTCTGGCAGAAATGTTATGATTACTCAGGCTGTGGCTCTTGAACAATGTGTCATAAATATTTGCTTAGATGCCTGTGTCTCTGAGGTTAACGAACATGTATGAAATCCACCTATATATAAGCCCTTAAATTAGTATATGGCCTAATGCCTACTAGGCCCTCAGTAAAAGGTTCTGGGAGGATAGAAAATAAAAGGATGGAAAGAAAAGTGGAAGAAAGGAGGAGAAAGGATGGGAAGAAGATGAGGGGAGGGATGGTGGATGAATGAATGAATGAATGAATGAATGAATGAATGAATGAATGCATACATGAGAGGGTGAATATAATCCCTGCAGCTATTGTGGCTCTGTCCACCCCGACCAGAGCTTCAACTCGCCTTAACTCTGGCAGGCTCACTCAGTTAACCAGGCCTCTGTTTTACTAACACCCTCTTCTGCAGCAGACGCAATTAGAGCAAACGGCTGGAAGCTTCTCCCCAGGCAGCCCCACCTGCCCTGTCCTGTCCCATTAACTTCCAATTCAACAGCCATCCCCGACCTGCAATGTATAATGAAAGACATTCAAAATATATCCAAATGGCATGAGTATTGATTTATTAATGCTGGGGAATGTTGCTCTAATTGAATTGAGATCCAGGAAGTAAGTTAATGTAGCTGACGGTGCTACAGGAATTGAATTACCCCAGGGCCCAGAATTATTACCTTTTCACTCTCTTTGTTGTCAGTGGGATAAATAACAAATCAATTGACAATTCACCCTGGTGGCAAAAAAAAAAAAAAACCAAAAAAACGCCCACAGAGCTCTGGACACAGATCTGGGGAATAGGTGTGGCAAGAGGTGGGGAGCTTCCTGGAGGAGGTGAAGTGGGAAGGGGAGAAGAGAGGAGGGTCTCTGTCCAAGAGCAGAGTCCTCCTTTCTCTAGCATTCCCTGAAATGCTAACTGCACAGACTGGAGCGGCCATCACTGCTCACTGGGAGAACCTCCAGCTGCACTCTGAGGGCCAAAGATGTAGAGGGACTTGCCCCATATCACACAGCAAGTCTCCCTGTACTTCTCACCACCTCCCTGGCCTCAGCTGCTGGCGTGCCCTGGGGCTGTGAGCTCTCTTTGAAAAGCCTCTTCAGATGTCTGCTCTGGTCTCTCCTGCCCTAGGCTTCTCCGCTGAGGGTCCTCTGTGGCCCTCTGTGGTTCCCTGGGCAGAGGCTTTTGAGGGCCTAATGTTGAGGGCTGAATGTTCCCCTCATCTAGCCACTGAGAGATTCATGCTAGGTTTCTGGAAACTTCTCAAAGGGCAAAAGACTCTGATCTGTTCCATCATGAGGAAGAACCTCAGGGGTGAGGCCAGGAGACTGATTTCAACTAGCATCTTTCTTCAAATCCCTCCTTTCCTTCCTCCCTGTCATTCCTCTTGAGCAGCCCCAGGTGTCTTCCAGCTTTCTCCCTGCCTCTCCTTCAGTGAGACACCTTTTGGGGGAATAAACCATCTCAAAATAGGGAAGCATGGAAACAGGCATACTTGGCTCGCAAGCGCAGCTCTGCTTGTTGCTAGCTTTGTGGCCCTAGGTACTTGGGTGCCTATCTCTGGGTCTTAGTTCCCTCATCTGTCGACTGGGAGAAAAACCTCTTTAAGCCTCATGAGACAGTGGCTCAGAAATGCTTTAGAAAACCCGGAGCCGTCCACAGGGCCAGGGGCTGGCAAGTGTCTGCCAGGGACCACAACATGTCTCCTGCAAGTCTGTGTCTCTGAGGTTAACGAACATGTATGAAATCCACCTATATATAAGCCCTTAAATTAGTATATGGCCTAATGCCTACTAGGCCCTCAGTAAAAGGTTCTGGGAGGATAGAAAATAAAAGGATGGAAAGAAAAGTGGAAGAAAGGAGGAGAAAGGATGGGAAGAAGATGAGGGGAGGGATGGTGGATGAATGAATGAATGAATGAATGAATGAATGCATACATGAGAGGGTGAATATAATCCCTGCAGCTATTGTGGCTCTGTCCACCCCGACCAGAGCTTCAACTCGCCTTAACTCTGGCAGGCTCACTCAGTTAACCAGGCCTCTGTTTTACTAACACCCTCTTCTGCAGCAGACGCAATTAGAGCAAACGGCTGGAAGCTTCTCCCCAGGCAGCCCCACCTGCCCTGTCCTGTCCCATTAACTTCCAATTCAACAGCCATCCCCGACCTGCAATGTATAATGAAAGACATTCAAAATATATCCAAATGGCATGAGTATTGATTTATTAATGCTGGGGAATGTTGCTCTAATTGAATTGAGATCCAGGAAGTAAGTTAATGTAGCTGACGGTGCTACAGGAATTGAATTACCCCAGGGCCCAGAATTATTACCTTTTCACTCTCTTTGTTGTCAGTGGGATAAATAACAAATCAATTGACAATTCACCCTGGTGGCAAAAAAAAAAAAAAACCAAAAAAACGCCCACAGAGCTCTGGACACAGATCTGGGGAATAGGTGTGGCAAGAGGTGGGGAGCTTCCTGGAGGAGGTGAAGTGGGAAGGGGAGAAGAGAGGAGGGTCTCTGTCCAAGAGCAGAGTCCTCCTTTCTCTAGCATTCCCTGAAATGCTAACTGCACAGACTGGAGCGGCCATCACTGCTCACTGGGAGAACCTCCAGCTGCACTCTGAGGGCCAAAGATGTAGAGGGACTTGCCCCATATCACACAGCAAGTCTCCCTGTACTTCTCACCACCTCCCTGGCCTCAGCTGCTGGCGTGCCCTGGGGCTGTGAGCTCTCTTTGAAAAGCCTCTTCAGATGTCTGCTCTGGTCTCTCCTGCCCTAGGCTTCTCCGCTGAGGGTCCTCTGTGGCCCTCTGTGGTTCCCTGGGCAGAGGCTTTTGAGGGCCTAATGTTGAGGGCTGAATGTTCCCCTCATCTAGCCACTGAGAGATTCATGCTAGGTTTCTGGAAACTTCTCAAAGGGCAAAAGACTCTGATCTGTTCCATCATGAGGAAGAACCTCAGGGGTGAGGCCAGGAGACTGATTTCAACTAGCATCTTTCTTCAAATCCCTCCTTTCCTTCCTCCCTGTCATTCCTCTTGAGCAGCCCCAGGTGTCTTCCAGCTTTCTCCCTGCCTCTCCTTCAGTGAGACACCTTTTGGGGGAATAAACCATCTCAAAATAGGGAAGCATGGAAACAGGCATACTTGGCTCGCAAGCGCAGCTCTGCTTGTTGCTAGCTTTGTGGCCCTAGGTACTTGGGTGCCTATCTCTGGGTCTTAGTTCCCTCATCTGTCGACTGGGAGAAAAACCTCTTTAAGCCTCATGAGACAGTGGCTCAGAAATGCTTTAGAAAACCCGGAGCCGTCCACAGGGCCAGGGGCTGGCAAGTGTCTGCCAGGGACCACAACATGTCTCCTGCAAGACGCCTCTGGCCATTGGCCGTCCAAACGGGTGTCTGCAAAGCAGCCCGGCTGGCCTTGTTCTGGTCAAGGAAGAGAACGGTTGAGTTAATTAAATCAACAGCTAACAGTGCAGGTTACCCACAAAAGTGAACTTTAGTGCCCCTAAAACCACTGACCAAAGGAGGGCTGGGAAAAAAATGAAACCACAGTTGGAGTAAAATGGAAAAAGAAATCATCAGCTCTACATCACTTCAGCTGGCCACAGGTATCAGAATATTAATTGGTCTTTGACTCGATTTGGCTGTGGGAGTCAGGGCAGGCTGTGGCTTCTGGGAGCCAGGGAGCGCAGCGGGCCAGCGCGCGGCATGCTGGGAGCGGCCTCCGCAGGGACGCGCGGGGGCGGGGCCGCGTCCGGGGGCGTGGCGACTGCGCCTACGGGCGTGACTGACAGGAGGGGGGCTGCTGGTGAGTGTGGAGATGGGTGTGGGTGCCCTGTGGGTGTGAGGAGGGGGGCGTGTGAGTGTGGTGAGCGAGCCCTGTCACAGAATCGCACGAAGGGTGCTCAAACTGTGCTTGGCATCAAAAGCACTCCATATGTATTTGTTACCTGATTTTCACAACAGCTCTAGCAAGAAGGAGGTACGTCCGTGAAGGAGGTGGTGGCCCTCCCAGATACACTCCTACCCGGTCACTTGGGAAGGCCCTCACCACAGTACCAGCATAATGGCGGAGGCAATGATGTCTGCTCACGTTTAGGAGTGACTGGCTGGACGCAGAGCACGCTGTCCAGGCACAGAGCGGGAACCTGAAGAATCTGGGTTGAGATGAATTTGCTCAGACTCAGAATCCACTCTCTGGACTGCCACCACTTGTGCCCAGCCCAGGCCGTGCCTTCTCTTGCAGTGGCTGCCCAGGAGCTGACCTGCTGGAGCCTGGCCCCAGCCCTCCATAAGTTCCTGTGTGTCCAAGCCAACTGCAGGTAGTAAGTTTTTCGGCGGCAAGTAGCTTTCTTTCTGCTGTTGCTGCTGCTCTAACACTAACGGCCTTGGAGGCAGATACTGTGTGCCTGTTGCCCACCTGCTGGACATGCCCATAGAAGTCAAGAACAGTGAGCCGTCTGCCTGAGGGGTCATCCCCACTGCTGGGGAAATGTTCAGTGAGCTCACATCACAGTGCCTGGATGTACCTTTGGAGTGTCAGGAGCATGTAATCTTTTTGCAGCTCTGTCCTACATCTGGCTGTGGGCCTGTGCCAAGGAAGGCCTGCTCAGCTTCCCAGGCCTCTTTATTAGGCCTGGGACACTAGGCAAAAAGAGCTCTTAGATCACCTGTCTGCCCTATAGTTCACAAAGGAAGGCAACTGAGGTGCAGAGATGGGGAGAGACTTGCTTGAGGTCACACGACAAGTCAAAACCCAGGGTCCAGGTTTCTGGTTCCAGGGACTCTTCCCTCAAACTGCCATGCTGCCAGGGATCACGTAGGTGGCATTAAAACTGCAGTTCAAGCTGCAGAGTGGCAACTGACTTTGGTTTCAGTGTCAGGGAGGCAAGAGGGAGTGATAGAGACCGTGATAAACTGGAGAGCCCATGCCACATCCCAAGGGAGCCGCCACTCAACTAGCACTGAGTGGGAAGATTTTGCCAGAGCTTCTGCTTTTTCAAGGGAGGTTGAAAATTTGGGCTTTATGTGAAGTGTTATAATTGTTAAAGCAAAACGACACATTTGCCACTGCTGTGCTGCAGCTGGGGACTCTGGGTTGTCCTCTGGGACTCAGTGAGTGGGATTGTGGGAGGAGGTGAAAGGCTGAGCACTGCTAAGAAGATTTGAGCTCTGAGATGCTGTTGGCTGGTTGCATTCATTCATTCACTCCTCCACTCATTTGCCCTCTCTGTGTGGGCTTTGCTGCCTGCCTCTATGTCCCAGGGGATTCTGGCTTCCATGTGGCAGAATGAACCTATCTGAGCTCCCCAACATCCCAGCAGCCAGGATGAGGGCAAGGAAGGATTTTGAAGAACGTGGGATCCTGCTGGTGAGTCTCCTGGACTTGTCCTGGACAAGGATCAAGGCTTCTTTGGTGTGGCAGAGAGTGGAGCTGAGCTCCAGAGCCCACATCAGACCCAAGCCCTAGTCCTGTTCCCATTCCTACCCTGGGGCCAGACAGACCTGGGTTCAAATCCTGCCTCTGCCATTGACAAACAGTGCCCTTGAGCAAGTGGCCATCCCTTTCTAGGCCTTGGTGAAGAAAGTATGGCAGATGCCCAGCCATGCCCTCTTGGCACACACATCTTCACACTCAGGGCTGCTTACTGCAAACTCTGACTCTCCCGAGGGCTTTTCCTGTGTGTGAGGAAGACAGGTGCCCATGGGCCAGGCTGGGAGCACCAGAACACAGATGCCCTTGAAGCAACCATTGGGTGTTGGTGACCAAATACCCCAGCTCTGTCACCCTGCGGTTGGGATAATTCTGAAGCATATTCTACACTGTCTCCCAAGTTCCCCAAGAAGCTCGAGCCCCAGCTGCCTGTGGGGTAATTTTCTTGGTAACTAACTCTTTCATGGTTTTCTTCCCTTCTCTGTCTCATTCCCCCTCGTCCTTACCAGTATTTCCTAGTAACTCCTAAGTAAACCACTCACAGTAAGCCCATGTCTTAAGATCTGCTTCGCGGGGAACACAACCTAAGAACCTCAGTTTACTCAGCTGTCAAATGGGTACAGTTAACATCTTTTCAAAATGGCTGTAAGGTTAAAACAAATGAACATGTACATAAAATGGCCTGGAACAGCTGGTACACGAGAAATCTTCCTGACAGGTAGTGCATTTTATTGTTATTGAGATTGCTGTGATATTGGGGCTGAGCCCCAGGTCACAGAGCCAGGCGCATTAGGGCCACTTTGAGGTGGGAGCCTGGCTGGCCCTGGAGCACCTCAGGGGTTGACTGAAGGCTTGGAGTAGAAGGGCAGGGAAGACTGTGGCCTCTGTGGTGGGGATGGCGGCATCTGTGTAGCAAAGAGGGCTGGGCCCTGGGGGAGCCCGTCAGCACCACCCCCACCCCCGACCTCAGAGCTGTTAGTGAAAATGGTGCTAATGGGGCTGAGCCCAGCTGTCACCAGCAAGGGAGCAGGGCCTCAGGGAGGGGCAGGTTAGGATGGGTGAAGGGGGTCCTGCAACCCGGCCTGCCCGGCGGCCACCCAGTGCTCCAGAGAAGCAGGGTCTGCTTCACTCAGCACAGGGGTGGCAGTGGGGAGGCTGGGGAGCCCCAAGCTGTCACCCTCATCAAATACAACTCTTCAGACTTTGGTAGGTCCTTGAGCCGGGACTTGGGGTAAGACACTTCCCTACTCTGGACCTGTTTCTCATTTTTAAAATGGAACTAATGATAATACTGACTTCCTCAGATTATTTTGAAGAGTCAGTAAAATAAAATTGGGCCAGAGAAGCGTGGGCAAGCCCGCCCTGAGAAAGGGCATGGCCCCCTCTCCCCGCCCAGGCCGCTGCTTGCGGCTCTCTCTGGCCCCGACACAACCTGGGAGCCAGGGATGGATTCCATCTTCTCCGCCTTCTCTGCCTGTGGCCTCAAACCTCACACAAGTCCCAGGGGGCCGTGGTGGCTTCAGAATATTTATGTCCCAAAGGGTGCTGCTGCCCTAGGACTAAAGGGCAGAGGGTGCTCCTCAGAGTGTTAAGGAGGGAGGCTCCAAGTGACTCTCCTGCCCTTAATCAATGCAGTATCCTTGGCTCACAGCCCCCGAGACAGCCGGGTCCCCCTCCTCCATACCACAGCAAGGATGGGGGCTTGTGAGTGGGGGAAATGACCCTGGAAGAGGAAAGGAGGGGACTGTGGGTCTGTGGGGTTGGGGTTTGGTTAAATATGAGGCCTAGAAGTATACAGGAGTCTGCAGCTCCGCTGAGGCCCCAGCTGGAACTTCATTAAAGCTGCAACCCAGTGAGTGTGTCGGGGGTAGGGGTGGGTGGGTGGGTGGGGCTGCAACTCTAGTGATTAACCTTCTGGAAGGAGTGGCTTCCCTGCATGGCAGGTGCTGGTCTCCTTAGAGTGGTGAGAGCAGGAGGGCCCCGGTGGCCTGGCCTCTTTAGCCAGTCTTGGAAAATTTAAAAAGGCACAAACACTAAGACCTGGCCATCCCACTTCTAGAAATAATAATAGCTGCTGGTGTTTCCTATGCACCAGCTTTCTGTGCTTTCTGTGTATTAATTAACTCACTGAATGCTGACAAGGGCCCTCTTAGGTAAGGGTGCTATTATTACCCCATTTTCCAGATGAAGAAACTGAGCCCCAGGGACTGACGTGCCCAGTGCCTCTCAGCTGCTGTGTGCCTCCTGCATCTGCGCTCTCGGCTGCCGTGACGTTCTGCCTCTACCTTTGGAAACATTGGCCTGAGAATTCGTGGATGCTCTGCTTGTAAGAGCCACATGGCTGCCCATTGGCAGGAGTGGCCCCAGCTCTCTGGGACAATCTGACAGGCCCTCTGATGGTTCTTCAGAATGAGGTCGAACCACGTTGTTACTGCGTGCTTTCTATTGAGACTATGTATCAACTGAAAAAAGTAATTTGCCATGATGCACCCAAGCCTATTTTTATAAGAGAAAAAACAAAACTACACGCGTCTCACTAAGAACTGAAAGGGTTGGAAGATTCCAGACAAAACTGCCACCTGTGACGAGATTGCTTCTCAGAGGAAGGATGGGAGTGAGATGCAGAACAGCGCTGGCGAAGAGTAGGAAACTGTGATAACTGTGTTCTTTCGGTAATTAAACAGGAAATGTGTTTTTAAAGAAAAGATATTAAAGAACTCAAAAGCTGTCCCGAGGGCCCCTCCCCAGGGGAGAACTATCAGGAAGGGAAGGACTTGAGGGATAACTATAATTTTTCTGTACTAGTAATCTTTTGCATCGAAGAGATCTGGATTTGAAGTCTAGTTCCATCCCTGACCAGCTGTGGACAAGGGAGTGACCTCAGTTTCTTCATCTGCAAAATGGAAATACAGGTTCATCATTCACAGGGTTGCTATAGAAATTCCATGAGTTAATTCGGGGAGCATCCAGCGCGGTCCCTGGCACGTGGCAAGGGCTCCTGAATGGTTGTCACAACACGGAAGAAGGTACAAGGTGCTGCCCCAGGGTCCTGGGGCTCAGAGGGGCCCAGGTGGGGGAGAGGGGGTGTGCCAGGGAACAAAGGCCCAGGAGAAGACACTCAGGAAGTTGGGCCTTCTCTCTGCCATGACTTCAAGAAGGGGAACCAGGCTCAGGTTTGGCAGGGGGGCCCTGGCCACTATGGTGAGTCCCACAGCCCGGCTTGAGGGCTGCTCTCCCACCACATGGCAGCCAGTCTGCAGGGGAATGGAGAAGTAAGAGCTGTTTCCTGGGGAGAGCCAGACAGGCCATGCTGAGCGTGGAAAAACCCTCTGGTCAGCAGGACCTGGGGGTGGGAAGCCCTGGCTCCAGGACTGGCCACCTGTGCCTCTCTGCAGCCCAGGCCCTGCGCTCTGCCAGCTTGGACCCCCCCAGGCCAACTGAAGCTGGGCCCAGCCCGACCGGCCTCTCTGCTGCTCTGGCCTTTTGACAGCTCCATCATGTCCGCAGAGTGAGGCCTCATCAGCTCCTTACCCTTCCAAGCCTGCCTCAGGGTGACATCCACTCACCTCTTGGTGTGGGCGGAGGGGCACTTGGGGCTCAGCCTGGCCCTGTTACTCTCCTGGGCTGCTAGTGGGGCTGCCCTCCCTCCCCCAGCCTTGCCTCAAATCCTGGGGCGGAACCAGCGCATCCCCTCAGGGCAGACAGCATTCCCAGTTTACAGCGCAGCCCAGTGGAGTCCCATGGCGCAGCGAGGTGGGCACTGAGGGGGTGCCAGTGGCTCTCCTTTGGGAGCTCCTGCTGCAGGGACTGTGGTGGCTGAGGGCCTGGCTGCCATCTCTCTGCATCTCCCACCATGTTCTACACCCAGGCCAGCTTCCCCCAGGCCCCTCCTACCCAATACCTGAGATGTCCACCTGCATCCTGCCTGCTGTTTCCTCTTCCTGTTATCCTTCCCTGGCATTTCCCCCAATAAATCTCTTGCATGCCTAGTCCTACCTGGAGTCTGTTTACCAGAGGGCCAAACTAGCACACTCATTTTACAGAAGTGACCTACCTGAAGTCACACAGTAAATCATGACCAGAGCGAGCTCTAGATCTCAGACTTCTCCCCTTCTTCACTTCCTCCCACTGCTGCACCCCCTTGATCCAATATTGGGGCCTCCCTTGCAGGAAGCAGGCTGCCTCTGGAAGTATCTGACCCAGAAGGGATTCTTACCCCACATCTTGAGAGATGTGGGCGGGCAGTTGGTGCAGGCTGAGAGGCCTCCTGCCCCCAGTGGGGGCGGGGTCCCAGGCCTGCTGCCCTGCAGGTCCTGCTGGGATCTGGGCAGCACTCTCCCCGGGGGCGCAAGGACAGGATTGTGGCCCGGCATTTAAAACAACACACCATCATTAAGTCTGTGATGGAACTCAGGCCCTAATGGCTCATCCACGACTCTCTGTCGCCACTCCCCACCTCTGGGGAGCGCAGGCCGGTGGCTGGGGGGGCGGCTGCAGGGGGGGAAGTACTCTGGGGCCCTGATCTTGGACGTGGCGAGCAGGCCCATGGTGCGGGGGCTCCGTCGGACCAGCTCCGTGTTTCACTCTTGAGCCATAAGGTCAGACTGTGTGAGCTCAAGTGAAGGCCCTGCCGTCACGTACAGAGGGAAACTGAGGCCCAGAGGGGACGTGGGTCTTGCTCAAGGCCACAGGCTGAACCAGCACCAGAGTTTCCCTGACTGCCTTTCCCTCCTCTCCTCTCAGCATCTCCTGCGCTTCGACCACACTCGGCAAACGGCCTTCAGGAGCCCTGAGGGAGGCTGGCCACTGCTTCTCTCAGGAAGAAAATAATCCAGGGACTCATTCCCACCGGGGCAGCTTTGCCTCTCCAGATTCCTCATTTCAACAGGGGTTTACGTTTCATTCCTTATGATACATAACGCTATCAGTTTGGCCTCTGCTCTCCGGTAAACCACGAGCCCGTCAGCGGGGCCCGCGGGGCCCTGTCCATGTCCTCGACCTGCCTCCGTGCAGCCACTCCGCCTCAGCTCTGAGCACTGGGCCCCCGGGCCCTCCCCTCTCTGTGCCTCTAGCGCAGCAGCCCCTTCTCACCACAGGGCTTTAGCTGGTCCCTCGGCTGCCTCCCTCTGTTCCCCGTGCCTTACCGGTGGATTTCCACTCACCCCGCAGACCTCAGCGCCAGGGCCACACCCTCCTCTCAGACCCTGGTGAGGTGAGGCTCCCGGCATATGTGTTCCTGCCATCTGATCCTGCCTAGCTCACTACAGTGACATAAATACATTTAGGATTCCTTGCTTCATGTGTCTACCTTCCCTACTCTATAGCAGGCTCACAGGGCAGGGACCTAGTAACACAATGGGAAGGGAGGGAGGGAGGGAGAGGGGAAGGGAGGGGAGAGGGAGAGAAAGAAGGGAAAAGGGGATGCAAATAAAGGAAAAACATGAACATAGAAATAGAAATTGACAGTTGAGTTTTTGGAGAAGAATAACTCAACCAAGTTGAGTTCCAAATTTGATGTTGAGCTTCCCAGCAGCCAAGGCAAAAATGAAGATATGGTCAGTTACATCAGTGTTGGTGCGGGAAAGGAGGATGCTGACTAGTTCCTCAGGGGAAGTCCAGCTCTCTGTGGGGATGGGTGCCTGGTAATGGTGTGGCTGGTATCCTTGGCATCCCTCCAGGTATGCGCGAATGGATTTCCCAAGGCAGTTTCTCACGCTGCCTGTGGGTGAAAGTTGAAGAGACATTGAAAAGTAGCTGGGACACAGCCTTTCTGCAGAGAGCTACGTGACAGGCCAAGGCTTGCCCAGAGGAGCAGGTGGCAGTGCTGACACTGCAAAGAACTTAGCCCATGGGATCAGTGTTGTCACCCCAGCCAGGCCCTTGTCTGGCTCTTGGCAAGAACTTGGCTCTTGGAAGATTCTAGGCTGTGCTCTAAACAAATGTGTCACCAGTGCTCTGGCCCAGGAAGAGGCCACCCCTGGCTGCAGGGGGTGGGTGTGGTGGTGGAGGGTGGGCCCTGGAGTCAGCCTCACCTGCACTCCTATGCCAGCTCTGCCATTTTCCACCAGTCACCTCACCTTGCTGAGCCTACATTACCTTCCTCCTCTGTAAAGTGGGGATTGTTATAGTTCCGCCCTCAGAAAGATGTTGGCAGGATTAAACAGGGCAGTTGCATCAAGAGATCGACACAATAGTGTCCACTGACCAGAGCTCTTGTTGGCATCATGATCAGATGTGCCCAGATTCAAAGCCAGAAGGTTCTCACCAAAGTCAGAGACTTAGTGAAAGAGGTGTTTGCATGGGGGATGAAAAGGCCTGTGGGCACATTTCTTGGGGGGAATCTGAGGCATTGCTGTCCTTCCACACTGCCCTGGTGGGGGGGGTGCTCTGCACTTGGTTCTCTGAAAGGGAGTAAACTGAGGCACCGAGGCACAGCCCAGACACACCTAGAATGTATGCGTGTGCACAGAGGGAGACTGGATGCACCCACCCGGGAAGAGAAAAGGCCTCGGTCCTTCAGGCAAAGTGCCCAGGCTGGGATACACATGGAGGAGCTGCTCTGGGTAGAGAGGGACAGGGAGGGGGCTGGGAAGGGGCCCTGGCAATGGAGGGGGAAGGAGGAAGGACCTGGGTCCTCGGAGGGGGAGAGGGGTATCCCAGGGGCAGAGTGTGCTCAGGGCCCAGCATGGTCATAATCGCAGCTGATGCAGGCCCCTGTACGGGCCGAGCACTGTCACAAGCACAACACACTGAGTCCCCACAGCAGCCCCATGGAGTCAGTGTTGTGATCTCCACTTTACATATGAGGAAACTGAGGCACAGGGAGGCTAAGAAACTTGCCCAAGTTCGCAAAGCTAGTGTCTTGATCAGCTTGTGCTGCTATAACAAAATACTACAGACTAGGTTCCTTAAACAACAGAAATCTATTTCTCATGGTTCTGAGACTGGGAAGTGCAAAGTCAAAGTGTTGACAAGGTGGGTTTCATTCTGAGGCCCCTTCTCTTGGCTTGCAGGTAGCTGCCATCTGACGCTCACATGATCTCTTCTTTGTGTGTGTGTGCGTGCGTTCAAAGACAGCGTGAGCTCTCTGGTTTCTCTTCTCACAGGGACAATAATCCTGTTGGATCAGGGCTCCAACATTAGGGCCTCACTTAACCTTAATTACATTCTTAGAGGCCCCATCTCCAAATACAGCCACATAGGGGATTAGGGCTTCAACATACGGGTTTGGGGGGACACAAACATTCCGTCCATAATGGCTAGGAAGTGGCCAAGGAGAGATTTGAACCCAGACTATTTGTCCAGTCCCCGTCCCTGGTCCTGAAACCTGTGTCAAAGCAAGAGCGGCTGTGGTTCAGGGCTGCAGAGACAAGGGGAGCGCAGAGAAGGCAGCAGTAGTCACGGAGGAGGGGTGAGTGGAGGAGTGAGCTCTCCTGGGAAGGTCAGGGGTCAATGGAGAGTTGGGGGAGTTGGTCTGGGCAGGGCAAGGGGCTCATTAGCAGGAGGCCCAGCTGGCTGGCTGCTCCAGACCATGAACTTGGCAAAGGGCAGTCACCCAGGGGCAGAGGGTGGCCCGTCCACACAGAAGGGGCTCCCAAGGGGGCCCTGGCCAGATCAATGAGGGCACCAGGTCAATGGGAGCTCTGCAGCCCCGGAGGCAAGACTTTGGTGACCCTGACGGGGAATAATACTAGCACTCCTACGGTGTGAGACCATGTGCTAAGCACTTCCCTGCCATGGGTGTTATTGAACAGGCACTAAGTAAGTCCAATGCATATGCATCCCTCAAACCCACCCTGCAAAGCTGCTCTTATTATCCCCATTTTACAGATGGAGAAACTGAGGCTCAGAGATGTTGAAGGAACTTGCCCCATGCTGGGCAGTGATTCAAACCCAAGAACTTGATTCCAAATCCCAGATTTTTGACCACCTCTCCTCGGGCAGGTCCTGGGCACCTCCTCATGCTACCTTGCTGGACAGACAGGCAGCCTTTGCCCCTCTCTTTGGTCTGTGTCTGGTTTGGTGAGTGACTGGCGTTCACCAAAGCGAATGGCAGATGGAGGAGTGTGAGGACGGGCAGGAAAGCAGAGCTGAGCTCCACAGGCAGCTGAGCAAACAGGCTGGGCCTAGTGAAGGAGCCAGGGGTGCAGGAGCTGGGGCAACTATCACGTAGGCATCTACATCAGCTACCATCCCCCCAACCCCATGACCAAGCCACTGAGGCCAGTGTGGGACAATAATCCTCTCTCCCAGACTGCTTCCCCTCCAGGCACTGAAACCCGGAGCCCCCACATAGGAGGGGACAGGTACGAGCACACGTAGACTGCTGTGTGCCTCCTGTGTGCCAGGCACAGTGCTAGATGCAAGGGATTTAATAGCAAGTCAAACCAGCGCAGCCCCTACTTGCACAGGGCTTATAGTCAATCAGGGAAGTCTGACATTCATCCCCTAATCGCACACAAGGTGAGACTGCAGCTGAGCCCAGCACCGTGTGAGGGCCATGAGACAGCATAATGGTGGTGGTGGTGAGGGGCATGACCTAGCAAAGATGGTCAGGGAAGGCCTTCCTGACCAAGGGGCAATTGTATTTTTCAGAATGAGCAGGTTAATAAGGAAAGGGAAGAATGTACAGTCTGTGCAAAGGCCCTGTGGTGGGAGGGAACATGGAGGATACAGTACCTAAAAGAAGGTACACAATGGGCAGAGGCATAGAGAAGGAGAGACTAGTTCATGGAGGTGGCTGGAGATGTGGGCCAGGGCCTTGGGGGGTCACATTGAGGAGGTAAGAAGACATCCCAAAGGATTGTAGGATGTCACTGTAGGGCATGACCTCAATACCACTATTTTGTGGATTCTAGAATGCACATTTCACCACAACATCTCTGAAATTGAGATATATTTTATAATTTATAGGTTGTCTTAGTTTAACTGGCAATACTTTCCTGCTAGGTACCTAAAAACATGGTGTGCTTAAAATCAAT